GCTGTTATTTAAAGATCATATCTATCCCCAAGAGCTCCTCTTGCTGCACATGAGCTGATTAATGTGTCATGCACTGAATTCTGAATGGTGGAGATTTGCTTTCACAGCTGAAAGCCTTTAGAGGCCTAGTGCTAAATTCTGCCACATTCTTGGTCTTAGTTTTTAGTGGCAATGAGTTCCACAGGCTGATTTTGCCTTGTGCATGAACGTTTACATTTGGAAACACAGAGATTAATCTTTAGTGTTATTCCAGAGATGAATTTGGCCCAGAGATTTTTGATTCCAGGGCGTGTTGATTCACAGCGTCTCTGTCATTTTTTCCCTCCCATTTTTAATAGTCATGCCTACAAAAGCACCAGTATCTCCTTGTTATGAGTTCCACAGGCTGATTTTGCCTTGTGCATGAACGTTTACATTTGGAAACACAGAGATTAATCTTTAGTGTTATTCCAGAGATGAATTTGGCCCAGAGATTTTTGATTCCAGGGCGTGTTGATTCACAGCGTCTCTGTCATTTTTTCCCTCCCATTTTTAATAGTCATGCCTACAAAAGCACCAGTATCTCCTTGTTAGGGAAGGCTGTGTTGGCAGCTAAGCCATGCAGTGAGTCCCACATCCTAACGCCTCCTGTGGCTGGAAGGGCCGTTGGATTGGTGGGGGGGGGGGGGGCGGGCTTGACAACATAGGGCTTTCGCCATAGCTCTTTGCAATCTGCTTTGGAATGCCCCAAGATATAAGTATTAGGCACCACGTGGTAAAAATTGGGTACTATCTCTGTAAATAGTATGTGAGCCCTCTAATGGTGCTCATTGTGTCTCTGTATAACAGCCAGCCAGAGCACTGGCACTAGTTTGTATGTGTGACTAGGCCTTGCATGTTGTACGCAGTAAGTACACAGAGTTATTTGAACCCCACTGGGCCCGCAGGGGAGATATAAGTATTAGGCACCACGTGGTAAAAATTGGGTACTATCTCTGTAAATAGTATGTGAGCCCTCTAATGGTGCTCATTGTGTCTCTGTATAACAGCCAGCCAGAGCACTGGCACTAGTTTGTATGTGTGACTAGGCCTTGCATGTTGTACGCAGTAAGTACACAGAGTTATTTGAACCCCACTGGGCCCGCAGGGGTCCCTCACATTGCTGTTCACGGGCAGGAGACACCACTGGTATGTTGCGCAGATA